ACTGCTCGCACACGGGGTCCAGGGGGAAAAAGCTGAGTGGGAGAGAGATAGAACTTACTGGGAAATCCGGCCGCTGCAGCGTTTGTGAAGCTCCGAAAACTGCACTGTCAAACACATGACGACCTGTCAAGAACAACAAACACTCCCCTCACACACACGCAGACAAAGTCTCTCTGTCCGTCGGGCAGCCACGCGCACAGCGGTGGGAGTGGTTTTATTTGAACCCGCGGCGAAGGCATGTTTTGCTGGCAGTTAATGAACTCCGCCCTGCCCTGCGCTGCCGGCGCTGCCTGCACCGAGGCCAGCGCCTCCGCTGCACCTGGGTCAGGTTAGCTTACCTTGGCTTTAGTTACTCTGCTGCGCTGATGAGTTTTTTCCCGGCCCACGCTGACGGCGTCCCGCGCCCCCCTTATTAAATCCTTCCACTTTTTCACCGGTAAAAAAACAAAAACAAGGAAAAAACGGCCCGTGTCAGGTTTAGGTCCGAGTTAATCCGGGCACCGCCAAAACACTTGTAGGATATTTGCGGATTCCGGCCAGGGCGTAATGGTGCGGCTTCACGCCGTGCTCGAGGAGAAGGGGAAGTGGAGTACCGCGCGCCGCGCCGCGCCGCGAGGAAAATAATGGAGCCTGACTTTTGGGGCTGCTTAAGTGACACCGCGTCTCTGCAGTGAGCGATGCCCGCCCGCCTCCGTGCAGTACTTCTTGTGCTGCTCGACGACGACTAGAACGACGAGGACGACGCCGCGGCCCGTCGCACGGCAGTCGCCCTCCAGTTGAATATCATTTGTCAGCAGGTCCAGAGGCATCGCGCGTCCCGCCCCTCCCCTCGGACTCCCCGCCCGCCCAGCCCGGCCCAGCCCGGCCAGAGTAAAAGCATATTGCCTGCGCGCGGCGGAGGGGAGGGGGCATCCGTGCCTGGAATTATCACTTTACGAGGGAACGCGGCCCGGCCGTGCACACTCCTCTGTGTCGCCGTGCCGCCCCGCGGCGCCCCGCCGTGTTCGGCGTGTTTTAATTTGCCAGAAAGCTACTTTCCCGCGTTCCCTCCCCGCCGCCTGGCTGCCGGTGCACACTCGCGGGGCCTCATCGACGAAAGCGTTATTTCCATTCTGTATTTCCGCTCTCCGCGCCGATTTCGTTGCCCCCGCGGCCCTGCGCGGCACCGCGCGGCCCGGCCGGTGCCTCGCCTTGTCTCGCCTTGTTCTCCTCCGCTCGGCTTAAGTCGCGATCGGCTTGTCCGTGGAAGGACGCGCAACCTGCTCGCCCTTCAGCATAAATTTCCGCGCAGAAGCATTTTTTCTCGCCGCAAAGCCCCCTCATCCCCCTCCTGCCGCTGCTTCCCCGCCTCCCGCGGCGGCGCCGTGCCCGCGCCGTGCTATTCTTCAGGCCCGGAGCCTGGAGCCTGATTCCGAGAGTCGTTCTCGTCGCTCTGTCTCTCTCGCACCTGTCGGGGCGAACCATGAGTGCGAGAGAGACAGAGCGATGCTGGGCATCGCTCGGCTGGAGCCCGCCGAGCAAAATGGCGGCGGAAACGAAGAACCCGTACCGCACCTCGCCCGGCTCGTCGCCGCCTGCGCCGCGCGGCGAAAAGCAGCGCGACCGTTATTCGATTTCCTCTTCCTTCCTCGATTCCCCGCGCACGCAGCCGCCTTCGCCACGGCCTCCGCCACGGCCTCCGCCACGGCCTCCGCCACGGCCTCCGCCACGGCCTTCGCCCGGTCGGTCAGCACCACCTTGCCGCGGGCCGCCGCCGCGCAGCCTGGACACGTTACTTGTTCCATGAGGCTGATGGATGTGCTCGCGGCGCCCAGACAACGTCGTCATCCAATTCTCCGTCGCACAAAGAACAGAAAAAGTCACAAGGCCCTGCCTGCCCTGCGGGGTGACGACGCTGCGACGTCGCCGAGCCAGTCTGGCCAAAGCGCCTGCGTTGCCGGGGGTAGGCAACCCCGGCGACAGCCGTGCGTCAGGCTGGCCTGCCTTCCAGGCGCTCCCGGTCGCGCCAGGCCGCCAGCCCCGCCAAGCCACATGCAGGGCGTTCCATTAGTCTCCCGCTAAGCAGCGCTAAGCCTCAAGCAGCCACCGAAGTGTCAGCTCAGCCTAACCCGACCCGGGGCGCACCGTGGCAGGGCGTGGCAGGGCGTGCGGCGGTCGCCGGGTCTCCGCAGGGCGACAGACGTGTAATTAGCCGATCTGGCACCGCGCTTCGCCGCACCTGGGCGCCCCGCCACGCCCCACCCCGCCACGCCCCACAGCCCGCACCGCGAGAATGGCGCAAGGGCGTTGTGCTCTCGATTTAGAGCCCATTCATCTGGGCGCGCCGCGGTGGAGACGCGATGGGAATGGTCCGGCCGCAGCCCTTCCAGCTTGGGCTTCCAGAGCTTGGGGCGCTTTTTCCCCTGCCTGAAACTTTGGAGAAGTAGGTAGGGATCGGATTGGTCCGGGCTGCGGCCTGCCCTCGTGTTCGTCGGATCAGAGCGCCAGCTTTGTTCCACAGAAATACACGCCAAAAATAAAATTAGGACTAGGAGAGGAGAACCGAGTGGTTCCCTACCCTAACCACTCGGCCTGTCTACCCCACAGGTGTCCTCTTCCTCCTCCAGACCCTCGCCACAGAACAGCCCTGCACTTCACGCCAAGTACGCGCCTTTCCATGATTCGTCCTTGAAAAGCAACTCCGGCTTTTGCGCCCATGCCGCCTGCCGCCTCCTATTGTGATGTGGCTTACCCCTCCGCGCCCCACCCCGCTCACTACTCCATTCTCCGCAACTTGGCCCGTTTGCTCTAGAGAACAAGCTAACTAGGGCCCGGCCGGGGCCCGCCCTGGAGCCCGCCCCACACCTAGGGTGCCGTCGGGCCGCTGCACAGTGGGCCAGAAGACCGGTGGAGGCGGTCAAAATCCCGAACGGGTTTTGAGCGCCAGAGTCGCAAAATGGGACTTAAATCGAACGAGTGACCCCACCAGTGGCTTGCTTTCCGAACGAGGAATCCATTGGTGACGTCACACGTTCGGTTTAGCGACTCTGGAGCTCAAAACGTGTTGACCGCCTGCGCCGCCGGTCTTCTGGCACACTGTGGGCCGTGCCACCGAGCCGCTTTGGCGTGGACGTGGCTGGAATGTAGGGACGGCCGGCCCAGAAGACATCCAGGGGTGTAAGATCGGATTGCCAGCCAATCTATCCCCCACCCCCTTTCCGCGGGCCGGGCCGCTCCGGGCGGAACGCGCGGCGGTGCTTGCCGGAGTGGGTCGAGGCTTTGAACGGGACGGTGGGGTGGCCCAGGTCTCGGCCCAGGTCTCGGCCCAGGTTGCCGAACTAACAGGCGGTCCAAACAGGTACTGACAGCGCCACGCTCCCCGCCGCCTTCGCCGAGGCCCTCGCCCTAAACTCGCCCTCACACCCCGACGCCCTCTCGCCCTCACTCGGCGAGGCCGGGCGAGGCCGGGCGAGGCCGCCATCCCCGGGGACGGTGTTAGTGCACCTCCGGGAACCGCGGGGCACCGGCAGTCGGCGCGTCAACAAACGCGTCGCCGGCAGCGCGCCAAAAAACAACAACAAAAAATTCCCGCGGGAACAAATAATGACGACCGGGTTTCGTCCCGTTTTGCCATCCTTCCTCATGGCGTTGATGTCGGGCTGGTAATGAACTCTCTCGGCGCCACCCTCCGGCCTGGACAACGGCAAAAAAGGAAACGGTGGCTATGAAAAATTCAATGCGGTGCGCGGAAAGTCGAACGTGAGTACTGCGTAGTACGAGCGCTCCCCCGCCGGGACTCCTTTGCGATTCACGACCATGTTTTGGCCACACGTTTCGTTTCCCGGCCGGGCCGGCTGCTGGTGGGCTGCAGACTGAGTCGTTTTCGTCGCTCTGTCTCTCTATACGGGACGCCCCGTGAGTGCGAGAGGGACAGAGCGACGAAAACGACTCTCGGAATCTGTCTGCTGGTGTGGGCTGGGCAGGCCCCACCCCACGAAGTAACGAGTAACATTTATTTTAAAAGAACGATTGGGTCAGCAGCGAAGCCCCCCCGCCCCCATTTGTCTCACGGCCCATTCCGGTCAGCAAGTTGAGCGTCGCGCCGCCATCCATTCTGCAGCCTCCGCGTCAGCACTGTCAGCGGGCTGCCCTTGGGGCTGCCGCCGCACGGCGCCCCCTTCGCTCCGTCTCTCTCGCTCTCGCGGCGCGTCCCGGACGGGTGCGAGAGAGACGGAGAGAGGGCCGGCCGGAGCCACTCGCCGGGATGGCCGAGTTATAGCGTGTCTAGGAGCGCCCCATCAGCCTCGGAATTACAAACGAAAGGGGAGGACAAGAAAGAGATCCTTTCCGGGGGGGCTGGCAGCTGGCAGTAGTCGAACCCGGGACTGCATGCAGTGGCGTGGCGCCGAAGCCACTGTAATGGCGACTCATGCCGCCCCTGGGATACGCGCGCGCGCGCGCGTGTGTGTGTGTGTGTGTGTGTGTGTGTCTGTCTGTCTGTCTGTCTGTAGGTAGGTGTGTGGGTGTGTGTGTGTAGTGTGTGTGTGTGTGTGTGTGTGTGTGTCTGTAGGTGTGTGTGTGTGTGTGTGTGTGTGTGCCTGTAGGTAGGTGTGTGTGTGTGTGTGGTGTGTGTGTGTGTCTGTAGGTGTGTGTGTGTGTGTGTGTGTGTGTCTGTAGGTGTGTGTGTGTGTGTAGGTGTGTGTGTGTGTGTGTGTCCGCGCGGGCCGTCCCCAGGGATCAAACTTGGTCCTGGGCGCAGGGTGCGGGGTGCGGGGTGCGGGGCGGACGTCTCTCAGGGTCGAGGACACCGAGGACACGCACCGCGTGACGAGCTTGGCAATAATGCACAATGGAGCGCGCGCGGCGGCAACGGCGAGTACCGCGGCGACGCGGGTAAATGCGCCCCGTTTTCCCGCCAAAACGACGAGAAATGCCAGAAAAACAAAGACGCCGCGCTGTGCCGCGCGGTGCGGTGCTGCGACGCCATGTTGACGCCCAACCCGACACGCTTCTGCCCGCAGGCGTACTTCAGCCTCACGCTGCTCATCACGGGCGTGGCCCTGCACGAGGACCGCCAGGTGCTGGGCGGCATGGAGAACAACACGGAGCCCTACAACAGCAGCATCATCGAGGTCGAGTCCACCACGACCAGTGAGTACACTTCAAAGTAGAGCCCTTTCACCAACGCGGTGAGCACGGCGTGCTGTGGGCCAGGAGACCGGTGGAGGCGGCCAAAACTTAAGACGCGATTTGGACGCCAGAGTCGCCAAATATGACTAGAACTGAACGTGTGACCCCAACATATTCCTCTTCCGGAGAGCAATCCGTTGGTGGGGTCACACACACGTCCGGTTTGAGTCCCATTTCGTGACTCTGGAGCTAAAAACCCGTCCGCGATCTTGGCCAGCCATCTGGCCCAGTGTGTGACGAGGCGCAGAGCGTGTTGCCTGCCCCGCCGTCCGCGGGCGCTCCGTCGAGATGCGCGAACACGCGAACACGCGAACACGCCGGCAGAGGCAGGGAGCGTCGGGCACACCGTGAGGGTGCGAGGGAGAAGGCGACGCCCTGCTCGCCCTGCTCGCTGCAGCGTTTCCCTCGACGCCCTTCATAATGGAAGGCGACTTAAGGACGACTAAAGACCCGTAATATTGAACACCGTAAATTTCGCCGACGCGCGAACCTGTGTACAGTACAGCCCCTGGCTCGGCGTGGCGTGGCGGGGCGTGGCGTGGCGGTGCTGTGCTGCTGGCCTCGCTGCAAACTTCTCTCGGACTCCTCTCCTTCGGGGCGGCGCGGGTCGTCCCTGTTGTAGCGCACCGAGAGCGCGCCTTCGCCTCCAATTAAATATGACCGAGCTGCAAAGTCCTCGTTACAAATAAATGGAACGACTTTCGCGCCGAGAGGGCGGGGGGTGCGGCCCCGCAAGGACCCGGCCTCTGGAGTCACTGGAACCCACTGGAATCCTCTGGAGTCACTGGAACCCACTGGAATCCTCTGGAATCACTGGAGTCGCTCGCTGGAGCGCACTGCTTAGGCGCATCCCAGCCGTCTTGCTTTGCTGGTGTTTCCCTCCGCGGTTCCCCCCCCCCCCCCTCCCCTCTCTGTGCTGCGCGGTGCGTGGCGGCGGTGCCAGGCCCGACCAGCAGACGAGGGTCGTTTTCGCCGATCTGTCTCTCTCGCACCTACACGGCGCGCCCCATGAGTGCGAGAGAGACAGCGCGACCAAAACGACTCCTCGGAATCAGTCTGCTGATGGGCCACCCCGAAAGAGAGAAAGAAAGAAGGCACAGCGCGCAGGCCTCGGCGCGGCCAGGCTGGAAGGCAAGGCTGGAAGGCAAGGCTATTACAGCTACGCGAGCTTTTGTTAATTTAAGGGCCCTGGCAGCCTTCTCCGACGCGGACGAACGCGGCGCACCGCCATGTCAGATTGGCCGCGTCGTTGCGAGACTGTACACTGTAACTTCCAGTCGACTTGGCCGTCGGACTCGCTGTCGTTCCGACGCGTTTTCGGAATGGCGCGCCGTCACAACTCGCTCGCCCTCCCGTCTCGCCGCGCACGGCGTTCGGTCCTCGTCAATGATTTGCGCCTCGGATAATATTTCGCTCTCCGCCCAGCAGACTGATTCCGCGAGTCGTCGTCTCTCTCGGACCTGTACGGGACGCCCCATGAGTGCGAGAGAGACAGGGCGACAGAAACGACTTTCGGAATCAGTCTTCGCGGTCTCTCTCCGCGAAGTAGACAGCGTCCGAACCGCCTTTTTCATTCACGACACTACGACACTGCTACGTTTTCATTTCTTAAAAAAAGAAAAAAAGACACCTGTTGAGGGTCGTTCACAATTTTCCGTTTTTATTTGCCTCCCAGGTACCATGGTGTTCAACATCCTGGTGACGTCGTGCTCGGTCCTGGGCCTCATGTCGTGCACGCTGCTGGTGTACGGCATCTACAGCGTGAGTACCACCCGCCGCCGGCATAACCAACCATGCTTCTGACCAACACACGCAAAAACAGAAGAGCGTCATTTTCCAATTTGCCGCTGGTGTGCGCAGGATACGAGGCAGCTGCTGGTGCCGTGGATCGCCGTGGTGGTCTTCGCCTCCGTGGTGGACGTGGCGCACATCGTGTACCTCATCTGCCTCGAGCTGGTGAGAGAAACAGAGAGAGAGAGAGAGAGAGAGAGAGAGAGAGAGAGAGGGGGGGGGGGCGGTGCCGCCCCTTTTACTCATGCATGGCTGCCACAGCCTTTTTCCGGCCGGACCGGGCCGGACCTCGGCTCGGCCTGGCCTGCGGTTCCCTCGCCGCAAAAATTCGCCTCGGAACGGAACCAATATTTAGCGGCCTTCGGTGGCCTTCGGTCTCGGCTCGGCCTCGGCGCAAAGCGGCGGAGGGCGGGCCGCGCTGATTGGGCTGCTCCGCGGGTACCTTGGTGGTGGGGTGGGGGGCTCGCCTTTTTCGCTTCTCTTTCCCCCGCAGCGGACAATCGGGCCAGAAGAAAAGGAAATGAGGGAAGGCGGCATGGGAACACACCGCCGCGCGAGGCGGGCGGACGTCCGGCCGCCGGGTCGGCACGGGTCGCGTCGGGTCGGCGTAAGGGTCGGGTCGGGTCGCCGCGGCCCTGAAGCAGTTACCCTGAGCTGTCCAGGACCCGCCACCGTGTTTTACTTATCTTCCCGGATGATGATCTCGTGGGAGGCCAAGACTGACGAAGACTGACACTGGATCTTCCCGCACTTAAATACCGGGAAACTTTGAGCGCGTTCCTTCCCGGGGGCAGGCGGGACGAAGGGAGGCGAGGGCGTGCCGGCGCGGCGGATGCGGGGCTTATCGGCGGGCAAGTGTCCGAAGTGGGCGAGGTGTCCGCCCTGCGGCCGGCGGCCCGATTACGAACACGGCTTCTGTCTCTCTCGCACTCACGGGGCGCCGGGCGTGTGAGGACGGGTGCGGGTGAGACGGAGCGACGCGAAGCGCCTACGGTTCGGAGCCCTGCCAGCTGCCGGTCCAGCGACCACGGCCTGAAAAAAAAGAAAGAACACCGCTAGTGAGATTAGCCATTTTAGCCCGCCACCCGCTGCTACCCGTGAGGCGCGTGAGGACGCCCCGCCCCAGCCTGAGGGGCTGCAGCGTGCTGCAGGGCGGTGCTGCGCCGACGTTGGCCTTGGAGTCCACGGCAATAACGCGGTGTGCCCGCGCGCGTGTGTGTGTGTGTGTGTGTGTGTGTGTGTGTGCCTCTATGTGTGTGTGCGTGAAAGTAAGTCTTCCGAGAGGAGAGCCACGCGCCGCGCCCATCCGTCTCCATTGCCGTGGGTGGCCGACGTGCAGGGCTGCAGGGACCCCGACGTGCGGGGCGCGGCGGCGCGGCGTGCGGCCGCGTGCGGCCCCATCTACCTACGCCACTACACCGCCACGCCGCGGCCCTCGGCGGCCCTGGCTTGGTTGGCGGCCCTTCGGCCGCGCTGCCGCGCTGCAAGGGGCTGTCCGCAAACAACCTAACGGATTTACGGTGGGCCCTTAAACGGGTCACGCGTGCAGGGGGTCGAATCCGAACGGTGGCGGCGTCGCTCGGTGTCCCTCCGACCGCTACGAAACGCCCCGCGAGAGGAGAGAAAGAAAGAGAGAGAGCGAGGCGGGACGCGCGGGACGCAGCCGCTGGGTCACGCCCCTAGTGGCGCTAGTGCCGCTAGTGCCTCGTCGCTAATGCAATTCCCCTCGTTACTTTTGCCGCGGGCCTCCCGGACCATCACGCGCGCACTTGCCGGGGCGAGGAGGGAAAAAATAAAACAACATGAAAGCACTCTCCGTCTCCGTCTTGCGCGACAGCAGAGGCAAAATGAAGGCGGACTTGCGGGGAGTGCCGAGCTAACACGCTCAGCGGGTAATCATTCGCGAATTTGCTGGTGGGGTCGTACCAGAATATTGCAGAATACCTGAAGAGTAATACGAGTTGGAATGCCACGGCGCGGTCGCGGCTCGTACATTTAATTTTTGGAGTGAATGCCCTCTCGCCGCCGTCGCGCACTTCGTCACCTGTTTGCTCAGCCCGGCTTAGCCGCTTTAGGCATTTTATGCGGCCGCCCCCGCCGCCCCCGCCGCCCCCGCCGCCCCCGCCGCCCCCGCCGCCCCCGCCGCCCCCGCCGCCCCCGCCGCCCCCGCCGCCCCCGCCGCCCCCCGCCGCCCCTGCACACATCAGTGGCGGGCGGCCCGCGTGCGAGCCGCACTCACGTAAAAGATGGGCGCGGGGCGGGCGGGGAGCTCACCTCGTTAGACGGGGAGGGGAGGACCAGGGCGTCGACAGGGTCCTTGGCCTGCCCCCGCGCGTGGCGCCGGCCCCTGCAGACTGATTCCGTCGCCCTGTCTCTCTCGCACGTACACGGGACGCCCCGCGAGGCGAGGGAGACAGAGCGACGAAAACGCCTCTCGGAATCAGTCTGCAGGTAGACCGCGCGACGGGCCGCATAAAAACACAATATGAGTGGTCGCCGCTTTATCATTTGCTCTGCACTCGTCGCTGGATCCTGGCTCGGCTCGCGGGGGGCGGCGCAGGCGGAGGGAGGCGGGGAACCACAGCAGGGGTCGCCGCCGTCGCTTCGCGGGGTTTCAATATGTGGGGGCGCGCGCCGCAGCAGTTGTCAGCCTATGGGGAGGCAGCAGACTGATTCCGAGAGTTGTTTTCGTCGCTCTGTCTCTCTCGCATTCATAAGGACGTCCCATGAGTGCGAGAGAAGCAGAGCAACGTAAACGTTTCTCGGAATCAGTCTGCAGGCGCGGGGCGCGGAGCGCGGAGACAGGGAGACAGCGGTGGAGCGCGCGGCGGGGCGTGCCTGTCGAGGCAGGCCGCCCGGAAAGCGAGATATGCATGCAATATGCCCGTTTTCTCCGTTTTCTCCGCCGGATCATAATTCTCCGCCACTTGTGTCAATATGTCACCCCGGCCGGCAAGACCCGCTCCGGAAAGCCGCGACACAGACAGCCACAGAGCGCACAGCCTCCGGGGCCGCGCCGGGGCCGCCGGGCCAGCGGCAGACTGGTTCCGGGAGTCGTCTTCGTCGCTCTGTCTCTCTCGCACGCCTGTGGCGTCGCGCATGGGTGCGAGAGAGACAGAGCGACGGACAGGGCTTGCCGCCATGTCACCGCGCTGCCGCGCCCCTCGTGGCCATGCATGCCCGCGGCGTGCACGTCGTTCCGCAGAGTGGCGGCGGTGGCGGCGCCGTCTGCCCCCGGCAACATGAAAAATGGAGAATGGAGGGACGCCGGGATTCACCCTCACCCCTCCTCTCCCCGCGGAACAAGAAAAATAAATTAAAATGATGCCACTCTGTTGCGCGGTGTGTGCTTTTAATAATGGTCATGATGAAAATAAAAGGAAAAAAGTTTGCAAATGATTAATGCTTGCTTGCTGATGACGGTGCCGTACCTGCTCTGCCCGGTTGGCCGTCCGGCCGTCGGCCGGGCCACACGGCACAGGGCCATACGGCAGTTGGCCAAGCCGAATAATCGCATTATCGGTCGCTCAAAGGCCAGCCGGGCCCGCGCCTCGCCTCACCCCCTGCCGTACCTTTCCTTCCGTGGGGCACTCCCCGCCAAGGGCCTGGCCCAGCCAGCCGAATTACTAGCATCTCCCAGACTGTGTTCCGCCGGATTTGCTCCCTCCCCCACCCCCACCCCTTGGCCTTTCTGGGGCTTTCGGCTTTCGGCCTTCGGAGCCCATTGCCCCGTTCGGCGCCTCGGCGTGTTCGCTAGTCCGCGGTCCACACAGCGGCATGGCCCGACATCAAAGCCGGGATATAAACCCGGCCGAAAGAACCAATACCTTCATCTTGGCCGATTCGCCCGCGCGGCCAACTGGCTTACCAAGTGCCACGGCGAATTACAAAAAAAAACGATGAAATTACTTACGATGGGTCCTATGAACAAAGACCGATGTCTTTTGGGTCGCTCGAACAAAGACCGATCTCCTTTGGGTCGCTCGAACAAAGACCGATCTCCATTTCGGCCGTTTCTGCATTCACCGCTTCTTTATCTTGTTGTTCTCGCAACAGACATCCAACTCAAACAATATTTTGAAGGTTTTGTTCCAAACATATTAGAGAATGATTATCTAAAATTCATTAGTGTGGAATCAAAACGTAGAGATTGTTCTGGGACTTCAAAATGAACGCGTTGAGAGGTTAGGAAATGGAGATCGGTCTTTGTTCGAGCGGCCCAAAGGAGATCGGACTTTGTTCGAGCGACCCAAAGGACATCGGTCTTTGTTCATAGGGCCCATACGGCGCCTTCAAACGTCGATTCCGCGGCTTCGGAAGAAGATCCCCCCCCCTGCAACGGCCCCTCTAGCAACTTGCACGCTTGTTTGGAAAAGGGCCATTTCGAATTCAACTAGCAGCGCGACCAACTCCAAGAACTGCGGGGATTCGGGAGGCGAAGGGTTGACGCCGTGGGTGGCCGACGTCGCGCTCGGGACCGTGTGCATGCACGTGTGCCTGCACGGAGTCGCTCTGTCTCTCTCGCACTCGTGGCTCGCCCCGAGCGGGTGCGAGAGAGACAGAGCGAGGAAGCACCGCTCGGCATCGTCCGTCTCGCCGAGCCTAGAGACCTAGAGACTGACGGAGAAGCGCGGGCGCCGATAAGCGCACCAACAGTTTCTCATACTCCTCGCGCGCGGCCGGAGAGCTGTCCCATATTCCGGACAAAATGGCGGCGCACGCACTTAACGGCTGGAGAAGGTTTTTCGGTCACAGCTTCCAAACCGTTCTAGATAGAGGGGTATAGTAAGCGAGCCGATTGTAGGTCTCTGTACAAGCTACAATCGGCTCGCTTACTGTACCACTCTAACTTGAACGGTTTTCGAGCTGTGGCCGAAAAACTGTTCGGTCTGTCTGCTGCGCTCCGCCTGGGTCTCTAGGTCTCTAGCCGAGCCGAGCCGAGCCGGTGGCAGTGCACCTCCCTAATAGAAAACGAAGTCCCTGGATGGCTCCTATTTTGTTCCTCCAAAGTCCACCGGGGATTTCAGGAGATTTGAAGTCCATACTTAGTCCCTGTCAAGTCCCTCCCCCGACCAGGTCCCTCCGAAGTCCCTGATCTGGCAGGATGGTCTGTGAAATCTCTCGCAAGTCCCTGAAAGTAAGCGTATGACCTCTCAATACTTTGA